TAAAACTGGCCTTTAAATTTTTATTATCTTCAGATTCATAAAGTCAATGACAGTAATGATGAAAACTTTGATTTCCTCATCAGTGTAGGCCTGAGGAATCAACCACTGCAAGGAGCAAGCTTCTGCACTGAATACAATACAAAAGAGTTATAGGCCTGCAGACTGACCCAGTCTGCTTATTTAAAATGTCAAAAGCTCTGGGAGTTTCCTACAAATCCAGAACTCACTAATACATAAGAAACATACAGCAGACTTTTCATCCACTCCCATATAGATACTTCCAAATATCCCTCAGGTCCAGTTTGTGTTCTAGTTTGTCACACAAACATTGACCCTTCCTATGTACTTGTGGGATATTAAAAAACTTGGGCAGTATTGAGACCATGCAAGCAGCATTTTCCCAGGATGTAGATGCATTCAAACCTGCTTTGGGAGAGGTACAGGGGTGAGCAGAGGTGGCCTCAGGTTTCCCTCACCATAGCAGCTGACTGACAGCTAGATCATTCCACCTCTTCCCTCCTTAAACACGGAGCTCCACCCTTTGGTAGCAAGGCCCCATGCTGAGTGGTCCTCCATCCTCTGACAACACAGCATCTAGTTGGGGAGGGGTGAGTTATCCTCAGTGTAAGATGAATTTCCAGAAATGCTTTATATCGCCCACAGCTAAATCCAACCGAGTAAAACAGATTTTAACATGGCTAATGACATTTAGAGTCCCAAAGAGACATGGCATAAATTGATTTTGGTTTTGTATTTTTCCTAAGTGGACTCGGGCAATTTCTTAAACAAAATGCTTTGGGTCTGCCTGCAATAATCACATTGGTTCCTGTGGTTTGCAGGGAAAGCGTCGATTAGATAAGATATTTAAGATGCTTAATTAAAATCATTCTCGTTGCTTTCTGACTGCCTCAGGGGCCTCTGAGAGGCGGCTAAGATGGCCTTACTCTCTAATGAAGTTCTAACAATTAAATTTATAGCTCATTTAGGAGATTTATCTTCGTGAAGGAGTAGAAATGATATCTTAGCAGCTTCAGTCAAGAATTATTGCCAAGCACTGACAGTACCTGCTATTAATTCATTTCTCTGAAATTAAAGGGTAAAGGTAGTGAGCGTGCTCAGTAGGGCAATTGAAACCTATCAGAGCATGATGGTGCAAGAGGCCAGCAGATGTGCATGCAGATGTGCAGGCACCTGGATGGCACCTTCACAAAGCAGAGACCAGGCACCACAGTGGTCCTTCCTGAGCCTGGAGTAACTGCGATGCTCTTTCGTCTGCTCGCTGCCCTTTCGATTTGTTCTGTTTGTTTAAGTGTATGTGCATATTCGCTCTTTGCACATAGTTTTTCATTTTTGGAGATGCCCAGAATCCAGCTATGACCTGATATATGCTAGCCAAACACTCAACCACTGAACTATACCCCCAGGTCCATTCATTTACTTGTTCCATTTTTTTTTTTGAGACATCTCATATGTTTATAGCCCAGAATGGTCTCAAATCTAAACTATGCAGCCAAGAAAGACCTTGAATTCTTGATCCTCCTGTCTCTACCTTCCAAATGCTGGGAATACAGGTTTGTGCCACCATGCCTGATTCTGATTCATTCTTAGGAAAATGATGTACACTTATTTTTAAAATTCATAATAGTATAATTTTTGGCATGATTAAAATGTTATCACATCTCTGTTTTAGTCACAGTTCTGGTTTTTCTTAAGCTCACCCTGCCCAGCTCTCTGGAGACTTCCTCCCTCCTAGCTTGAGCTCTCTAGTCTGGGTTCAGTTGAAGCTCTTGGGGGTCCTTCTTGTCACGGGCTGCACTTTTCAGCCTGGCTCTTCACATCACTGGCTCCCTCTTGTGGCTATAGAAGGTCATTGCATACCCACTATTGTGCAAGAGACAATGCTTCTGGCTAGAGCTAAGTGTCAAACAGAACCCAGCAGGTGGCTCACTGAAGCGGCAGGGGAATGGCTAGCTGGAGTCAAAACCGTGGTGCCAGAACGCTGCTCAGCAGGGCCTCCTGCACTGTGGCCACTGGCCTTCTACCATGTCTCTCCCAGAGCCTTCCCAAGTACCTCCCCATTTAGGCTGAGCATGCTCCAAATCTGGTTGGTTTGGTTGGTTGATTGGATGTGTTTGTCATCATGGTTGCTGGCACTGTCTAAGGCTGTCACGAGACTGACAATGCCTAAGCGGTATCTCAATGCCAGTGGCTGCTTCTGTGAACACTTTTCTCCGCAGAGGCCTTTCATGGGCAGCGGTGGAGTTAAAGTCCCCAGACCAGCCTTCTGAAGTTCCAGAAGAGGTGTGATAGACGTGGTGGAAACTCTGGGAATAGCCCACTACCGCCCACTTTCCCAGCATGATTCCTCCCCAGGGTGTCTCAAGGCCTCCTGCTTGGTGCCCGGTGCTCTCCACTGTGCTCTCCGTCTGTCTCTACCTTTGCTTCCTCGGATCCCTTCACAAGCAACCTGTGCATTCACATCCTTGGGTAGGTAGGACACCGATTCCAGAAGGGCCCAACCTAAGACAGCTAGTGCTAGAAGAATTCCAAGGAAACAGACACACCTGGGGAGGGGATTCTGGAACTGTGTTCCTCACTGTCTGGGTAGGAATGGAACGTGAATTGAGGCGGAATCCCGTAGAAGGAGATGCACTGGCTTACACAAGAGCTCTGGTACTCTAAAGTAGAAGTGGAAGGGGAAAAAATAATAATAATAGGTTAGCTCGTGCTGAGACAGAAACTCCCAAACGAGCATTTAGCTACTGCCCTCTCCTGCAGCTGGGAGGAGGGTTATGAAGAAAATCCAGTCCACAGCCTGGGGTCCAGAGCGGTAGAGTAATTAAGGAAGTTGAATTTACACCCTGATGGTCTGCTGTGGCAAAGGGAGGGATCTGATAAAGAGTGGGACCAGATGCGCTGGAATTTGGCTCGTTGTCAATGGAGGGTGCTGTTCTGTAATACCGAAGGCTGAGTGGTGGCTCTGACCCAGAGGCAAGGTGGAAGGAAGTACCAGGAAACAGAGCAAGGCAGAGAAACAAGCCGACGCTTCTTCTCACCTGCAGGGACCTCCAAATGACTGCTAACAGGCCACACACCTGGTTTACAGGATCCTGAAGGTGGAACCCAGGACTTCACACATGCTATGCAAGTCCAACCCCAAGGCCTGTGTCCCCAGCCCTCCCTCCAGGATGTTTGGTACTGAAGAAAGGACATTACCTACATCTTGACAACCTTGGACTGTCACTGTTATCAGCTTCCAGTAGAATCAATTCCGTACCCACTTACCATTTTCTAATGACAAATAGCACACGCGGAGACGACAGTAACTTGTGCTTGCCGACCCCACTTGGGCAGCCATCCTGACAGAGTGGCAGACTCAGGGAAGGTGTCGTGGTTTGGTCCTCTAACAACTGCTGTGCTTTCAGGGACAGTTCTAAACCTCTGACCTTGCAATCCCACTCCCCCTGACTCCGTTCTTCACCTTGCCATCTGTCCCCGACACAGCCAGACCTTTCCCTACAGCCTTGCCCACTTACCCCAGTGTCGCTACGGTCGGAACAGCCGACCACAACCGGCAGGGAACAGTCTTCACACTCTTGGGATTTCCTATTATGTGATGTGCAACCTTTTCCAGAAACAATCGAAAGCTAAAAATAGAAACGGCCTGGATTTACCTTCATCTCCACACAATGACTCCATGGCCGCCGTGGCTAGCCTTGAAGCAGTGCCAGGCACTTTGAAATACAGAGACTCGTCAGTGGAAGTGAAGGAAGCGCTTCCAGGGCCTGCCGAGGGAGGGGAGGGAGCTGTTTACTTAGTCCTATTTAGTCAGCTTTTGCCAGGAAAGCCAGACCAGGAGGAAGAACAGTAAGAAGCCAGGAGGGGACCAGAGGGGCACAGATGAGCAACCAGAACTGGGGCCCCTGGGGTAGACTAGATGGCTCCAGAGGAACTAGGTGAATTTTTGGAGGAGGGGGTTGACATGGAGGAGAAAGGGGAGAAGAAGGCTGAAACAGGATTTCCAGCGGTCCTCCACACAGCTGGAATGTCCCCCTGAAATGGGGAAGGAAGGAGACTCAGTTTTAATGTCACTGCCAGGTCCAGCAGGTCTCTCTCTCTCTCTCTCTCTCTCTCTCTCTCTCTCTCTCTCTCTCTCTCTCTCTCTCTCTCTCTCATCCCCTGAGAAGTTCTCTTTCCCTTCCGTGTGGGGGGGAGAGGAGGAGGAGGAGGAGGAGGAGGAAGGGACACAGAGAGAGGACTGATGCATCTGCCCACCCGTCTGAGATGAAGAAAATAGGGTGCAATTAAACTTCCTAAGCTAGCCTCCTGAGAAAGACCTGGATTCCACCCGAGTGTGTGATCCTCGGAGAGAAACTGGGAGTTTTCTGCTTTTCTCTTCTTTCTTTTTATTTATTCAGTGTGTCTTTCACATCATGCATCTTGATCCCGTTCATTTCCCTGTCCCTTCACATCTGCCCTCCACCCTTCCAATACCCACCTTCTTCCCAAAATAAAACATACTTTAAGAGAAAAAAAAAAAAAAGAAAAGGAAAAAAATCTCGTCAGGGGAGCTGCAGTGTGACACGGTGAGTCTACAGTAAACCCCTTTGTCCGTGTACCTTTTCTTACAAGTGTTCATTGCAAAGTCATTGGTCTGGTCGAGGCCTCTGGTTTCTACCACGCTATTGATGCTGGGTCCTCACTGGGACTCCTCTTGGATATCCTGCTCTTGCCCTGTGTTTCAGAGATCCTGCAGCGTTGTGTCTGTGGGTCAGGCCACTTTACAGTGATCTGTACACTCCAGCAGATCATACATAAATGGGGTGGATGTTGGGGTGGGCCAACTCATAACCCTGGTTCTGGGTCTGGGCAGCTGCGGGATTGGTCACCCCACCAGTTCTCCCCTGTCCTCACCACCAGGGGGAGCTCTCCAGCACTGCCCCGGGCTAATTCAGCCTTGCAGCTATGAGCGAGGGGTGGGGCCAGAAACTGGGAGTTTTCAACAGTGGTGCTAAAAGGCCTGACCTGGAAGGTCAAATTAAATAGAGAAGAGATGAAGACCCAGGAAAGCCCAGCTTGAAGTTTCCCTAGCTGACTGTGAAGTCTTCCCAGGCCCGCAGGCTCCCGGGACTCAGAGGTAAACAGTCCAGAGTTCCAGTTCTTGCCGTCACCAGCTGGGTGGCTTGCTTCACTTCCCTGGGCTGACACACATTTCATGGGGTGTTGGTGAGGGTTACATGAGGTGGGAATGAAAAGCTCTGTTTCCACACATTCTGTTCAGGCTTTGCAGGTAGACGAGCCAAGACTCACCCAGAAAGAGGGAGCTGGTAGAAAATCGCTTTCACACGAAGCCAGGCCTGTATGAAGAAGACAGGTCAGGCTGTTAGAAGTGGAGGTAAGATATGAGCTTGGATGAAAGTGTCTCATTTACCTGAAGGAGGAATAGGTGTGCTGGGACTCTAGGGAGCTAAGCTAGCGAAGAAGAGGAAAGGCTGGCTGTGGAGAAGGGGCCAGGTGCTTGTACGCATTGTGGCCTTGGGTCCTCAAGGGTATGTGGGAACTTTCTCCCTGTGGAAGCATCCAGCAACTATAGGAAGATCAACAGAACCAAATTACCCCCGTTTTCCATTCAAAGAAACAATGAAGGTAAACAATGACCCTTCTGTTAGTTATTAATTTATCGTCTTTCAGCCCTGACTCGACCCTTTGACTGCTCCGAGGTCATTCATTGACAGAACTCCTACCCTTTCTCCTCCACAATGAGTATGATCTGCAGCTTCACCAGTAGAGGGCGCTAAAGAGACACCGCAGGAAGAAGGGGGCTTCTCCCCTGGTTTTCCTCCCAGCGCACATGTAGCCATGCCCTGGGCCATCAAGATGCTTACAGTGTAGAGTCCTTCTGCAACCCCAGAGCCCAGGACTGGACTCGGGGACCTCTTGCCTTCACCCTTGTGACGTAAGTTTCACACCTACAAAGGAGTCCCACCTCCTGATCACTTTCCACCATCAGCTGGCTGACACTCCAGGACTTTTTTCTCACAACCCTCCCAGTGTGAACGCGGCACACCAGGCCTAGGTAAACAACCTTAGCCTCAGCCTGCCTGTACCTGTTGGGTTCCTCTTCCCTTCTTGCATGGCACCTATGAACACACTCCTGCCAGACAGCCCAGGGTCCCCAACTTCTAGCTATTGTGCCTCAAGCTTTCCCCAACAATGTCACAAACCCAGCCTTAAGGGGAGCCCCTATTTCAGGGTCGTTTTTCCTTTGATAGTCTGCCTCATACAAGGTGCCTTTCAGAGGCATCATTACATATCAAGCCTGTTTCTGGCCAAGCCTCAGATCTAACCAAACATACACAAGGAGAGGGACATGTTAAACGACACCATCAGATGCAGTCACAAGATCAAGGCTTGAGGGCGCTCCATAGAAAAGCCACCAGAATTCTCCAGGGAAAGGGAAAAGCTCTCTCTCTCTGTCTCTGTCTCTCTCTGTCTCTCTGTCTCTCATACATTTATATCTGTATGTCTAGGGCTTATTATCCAATTAGAATTAAGGACTTCATTTGAACAGCGATTCCAACAAATAGTTAAAAATATTTGAAACAAATGAAATATAACGGTCTGGATATTTGATAATATTAATTATTTTTTAAAAATATAAGAGATAATGAAGGAAATACGAGTGCTAGATATTTGTTGACATTATGAGAATTCTCTTTATGTTTATGTATGATAATAATAGTGATGCATGGGAATTTTCTTCAAAATATTAGTTGTATGAAGTAAAAGTGGAGGGGAACATATCGTCCAGGACTAAGTAATACTGAAGCTAAGTGGTGAATACACATGTTCATTAAGACAATTTTTCTTTTCATTTGAGGTTAAGTCTGTTTGTAACCCAGGCTGGCTTGACACTCACGTGGCCCAATCCACCTCAGCCTTCTGAATATTAGGAGTTTATAGGTATATACAACCAATCTCAGTTTCATTAAAAATAAACAAACAAACAAAAAAACACTACCAGCTGATAAGAGAAAGGACAACTTCACTGGAAAAGAAGCAGAGTGAAAATAAACAATTAGTGAAGGAAGTGTACATGCCCCCAAACATGTGAAGGCATCGATTAAAAAACTGAATGTCCATAGAAACACGGTCATTGTCATTGGGACCATCACACTGACAATTTGACACAATTTTTCAAGGTGTAGAGCAGACATTGTTGTAAACCCAATTGTTTTGATTCCAGATATGTGTCTTGGAGAAATTGTCAAATGTGTCAGCCAACGTATGTGTTTATTGAAGCAATTTTTATAACAACAGAACACTAGAAGCAAAGTGACTGACCACCAGCGGAGAAGTGGCTAAGAAAAAGAAGTGAATAAAACACGTGGAGTCCACACAGGGTCCTGAGCAACGATCAAAAGGGAAGATTATGTGGGCCGATGTGGCAAAGCCTCAGAATGTCATTCGACAGAAAAGCATGTCACAGAGTGAGGGACTGCATTTGATCTCGATTTTGTAAAAAAAAAAAAAAAAAACTAATTAATTGATTAAATAAATAAATAAATAAATAAAGGAAAAGAAAAAAAGAAAGCTAAGTTAGCAAACTAGGATAAACCTCCCTAAAATGAGACATGTATAGGTACTTACATATGTATATTGATTTATTTACATATGTGTGTATATGTATATATGTGTGTGTGCATGTATATATACACACACATGTATACTATGTAAGTGCTTTGCTGCTCCTTTCATAAAACTATATTCATATTGCTTGTGAATAAGGAGCAGCCAGGGCAAGCTCCTGCCGCCGGGATGGACTGAGAAGCTGTTGACTGAGTTTTCCAAACCTGCGGTCACGGGGGAGCTGATGAAAAGCCGTTCCCAGCATGCAGTGGAGTACAAAGGCGGCAGCCTTCGCTCATCCTCAGAGGGTGGGTCGGTGCCAGGACCTGCCCCACCTGACTCCAGCCCTGTTCGTACACAGGGGACACTCCAAGTTTTAAGAGACAGGAAACTCAGCCTTTTCGTTATTCCGAAAGGTCTCTTCAAGTGTGCCTTGCCGTGGGGCTTTGTGAGTCATTTTAGATCCCAGGGGCTAATTTTTAAGGTTCCGAAGAGCGAAGGTTGCTGCCCATAGCGCTCAGAATATTTGATGTTTTCAAGGAGTCTCTAGCTCAGTACAAAGGACAGAGGGTCAGCTCCTTTTCCATTGCTGTGGCAGGGCACGCGACGACTCCAGAGGAGATAGTTGATGTTGATTAATAGTTGAAGAGATTTCAGTCCATTGCGACAGGGGAGGCACAGGCAGCTTTTCATGTGACAAGTCGTCAGGAAGCAGAGCTCTGGGCTGGAGCCACAAGAGCAGGTCTAAAAGTTCAAAGTTCTGCCTCTAGTGGCCTACTTAGACCAGCATCTCCTCAAGACTGTACAGCCTTCCAAATAGCTCCACAAACTAGGGAATCGAGCGCTTAAAACATGAGACTAGGAATGACATTTAGATTCAAGCCAAAACAGGCCGAAGTGAATGCCCAGGAAAACAATTAAGGTTAGCTCTCCGGCAGACCTGCCTTTGCAGCCAGGTACAAATGACTGGCAACTGGTGACAAGCCACCACATCCAGGATCGAGACTATGAGTTACCCCAGGCTTTGGGCTTGGTGGGACAGCACATTATTTTTCCCCCTGGGCCTTCCCTGTTTTACATCAGGTAATCATTTCAACCGTGGCCACAGCGCTGAAGGACCCTGCTAAATTTGGCCTCATTCCTGCCTTGGCAGACTGCCACACATGGCCAGGGTGATGGAGGAGTGTTTTTACAAGTGTCAAGCCCCAGGAACATTGTCTTCATCCTGTCTGATAAAGCCCAGAGTCCAGTCAAGCATCAGGGAAAAAACACGGGTCTTAGTTCCATCCCAAGTCGAGCAGTTGTGGGCGTGGCCTCGGCACCAAAAGCTTTTGCAAATGCCAGCTTCATAGTTGTGATTTCCCAGCTCTTGTGTTGGAGAAACCATTTGCGGAGAAAAGCACTTTTCAGATTGAGGAGCTGTTTTTCAGATCCCCCGCGCCACCCCACCCCACCCCCCACCCCCAAGCAGAGCAGGGAAGAAGAGCAAGGTGCAAGAGGCCGGAAGCCAGACACCAAGAAGGAGCTGATGGCGCCTCCCTCAGGGACAGCAAGGCTGACCGTGGCCTCCTGCTGCTGTGCTGGTGGCCTGGGGGGCTGAAGTTGAGGTCAGGGACAGGAGTGCTCTGATGGACGGGGAGGGTGGGAGAGAGAATGTGGCACACTGAGTTTTTCCTCCCTATGCATCCAATTATTGTGATTCTTATGGCCATGACTAGTGAGTCAAACGCGAAAGAGGAGCACGCGTGAGATGAGATTTCTTTGGAAAGAAACTCAGGAAGCTAGCTTATTTGGGGTATTATCAATAAACAAGAGCAAGTAAACTTGACAGAATTTTAAAAATAGGGCGTGAACTAGATGTGTTTCCTCGGCAATAAGTTTAAGGCAGAAAAATTATTTTTTTTAAAAAATCAACTATATTTGATTCAATTCAGATTCAATTTTTTGGTTTGGTTTTCTGTTTGTTGTTGTTGTTGTTTTGAGGCAGGGTTTTACTGTTGTGGTAGTTTGAATAAGAATGGTCCTCACAGATTCATAAATTGAATGTTTGGTCATCAGGGAGTGACATGGGCCACTGTTGAGTAGGTGTAGCTTTGTTGGAGGAAGTGTGTCACTGGGGGTGGGCTTTGAGGTCTCAGATGGTCAAGCCAGGCCCGGTGCCCAGGCCCAGTGTCTCTCCCTGCTGCCTGCTGATCCAGCTCCTTCTCCAGCACCATATCTGCCTGCCTGCAGCCCTGCTTCCAGCCATGATGACAATGGACTAAACCTCTGAGTTTAAACTAAGCCAGCCCCAAACAAGTGCTTCCCTTCATTACAGTAGCTGTGGTCATGGGTGTCTTCTCACAGCCACAGAATTTTGACTAGGACAACTATGTAGCCCAGGCTGGCCTTGAACTCACAGTAGCCCTCTGCCCTCAGCCTCCCCAGTGCTGAGATTACAAGGCATGTGCCACTGTATCTGGCTGCAGCTTGAACATTCAGCATCGTGTTTTGCTTCCTTGATATGAGGAGAACATGATATAAATGTTTTCTTTAATAAGTAATAGATTCCCTTTTAATGCTTTCGTTTTACTTTATTTTGCTTACACTCAGGAAAGGAAATTATAAAGTAGGACAAATGGAACACACTAAAAATTACCAACATTAAAAAGTATTTAATACAATTAAGCAACAACAGAGTCATTGATGGCTCCCTCTGTCCTCAGCACCCCTGTTTTCAGAGGAGCTGAGGCAGGTGAGGCCCCTTTGAATAAGGACCAGACGGTACCACATAGAAACACACAGCTCCTTTTGGAAGTTCAGATCAATGCGTGGGATTCAGGACTTAGCAAAACACCATGCGGAGAAGGAGGGCTGGACTTGAGGAGAGGCGACGGAAGGCAACAGGCAGGCCGCTGGACCGCAACATTGACCTGGCTCAGGAAGAAAACAGACATGTGCCAGCCTTCAAGGAATCCTCTGCCAGCTGGGGTTCCGCTCCAAGCACCAGTTCTCATCAGTAATTCCCCACGCCCAGACCTGAGACTCGGTACAGCACAGTTCCCGGAATTCCGTACCAGACTTGGTGGATGATTTTTTAACTGAGTTGAGAAAGGACTACAAGCTTCTCATCTGCTGCCCGCCGCCTTTGAGCACCGAGGCCACGGTTTCCATTTGCCTTAAAATGGCTCAACATTTTTGCTGCATTACCAAGGCCTCTTTAATTTATCACTTTGTTTTAAAGAACTGCACCGTCCCAAAAATAGCACAAAATTACTCACTCTGTTGGAGGGCACTGCAGCCTTACATAAGACACGTAATCTTCCACTGATTGAGCCAGACTGAGCCCAGGCCTAGCCTTCTGAATTCTAGCAGGGGCCAATGGAAATGGCTTGGTTTTTTTTCAAGCAAACTGTAAGTTTTGTTTTTGTTTTGAAACAGGTAGTCTAGGCTAGCCTTGAACTCAATAAGTAGCCAAGGATGACCTACTTCTGACCCTTCTGACCCTACCTCCCCAGTGCTGGGATTACAGGCCTCTGTCAGCACACCCAGCTGTTTGGTTTCTGTGGTTCTCTTTTGTTTTTGTTTTGTTTTGTTTTAACCACCAGGGCCACCAAGGAATGTCTGACCAGCCAGGGAGAATCTGTGTTGCTGAGTTCTGCGTTCCTCCTTGTCTTCTTCATGCTGCCTGTAACAGAATAGAGAGAGCTGCCTTCCTAAGCCTACTTACTCCCTGTTTTCCTCGAAGTCATAGGAAGAATCTAGAAATTCGTTGTTGTCTTTTAAATATTGAGTTTCATATTAAATTTCATGTTTTAAGTATATAAAGAAGTTAGTTTGAGATTTCACTGAGGATCACAAGACAATTTAGAAAGTGAGTTTGGGTTTTTGTTTTGTTTTATTGTTTGTTTTTGTTTTGAGAGATGCAAATCAAGTCTGTCTTTGGGAAGCTTTGCTGGGACTGTCTGTTATTTGATTGTCCTCTCCGAGCTCCCTTGGCCTTCCACTGCATCTGTGAGCATTGTCAGCCTCGTGGTGGTCTGCCCTGAAAATCATCATAATGGATATATAAGGGGATCAGGCAGAGAAATGCCCGGTCTTATTAAATTTCAGTATTCCAACCGGCTTTTGTGTTTCTCATTACCTCTCCAGCCTCTTTGTGAGAGGAAGAAGTCTCCGTGTCTCATAAGAAATGCATCCCTTCCCCCAAGGCCTGGGGTCAGTCATTACCGAAGCCTTCAATGTTTTCTACTGTTGTTGACTTTTTAAAAAATTCTATTTTAGAGGAGACCTTTGGGAGATTCCTGCAATGAAATTCTGCTAAGGGGGAAAGTCTAGCAGTTAGTGGCATTATTAAATGCCCCCAATTATACCACAGAATCTGCCATTCACAGCCCTTGTCCCTTGGGAGTTCAGAGAGTTCTGGATGTTTTACTTTATTAACCCTCACATTCCATGTGATGAGGAGGGGAACAGGCAGCCTTAAATCAGGCCTTCTTAGACAGTTTTCATTCACAATCCTTTCCACCTGGGAAAATGTTAAGCGACCCTGAATACACAAGTACCTAAAATAGGTATACAAATCAAACATGCAATGATGATAAACAATAGCTTTATTTTAAAACAATTCATATATATATATATATATAACTTTACCTTTCATTAGAGATTAAAGCAAATTTACATACTAATGAGATGAATGCGCTTGTTTATTTTTACACAGAAAATTAAATCTTAGCTGAACATTTATTTGATGCTACAGGACACAGAGCATCTCCAACATTTTCCAGAGTTGATTAATATTTTGATTTCATAATCACTAATTCAAAGAATGCCACTACACATAAATACATAGTACAAAATTACAGAAGCATGTTTGGGGCTGTTTCCATTTCAGAAATTGTTGGGAATTCTCTCCTAATCCCAAGCCAAAATCCATTTAGCAATCTTTTAAATGAAATTCTAGTCATCAACACAAACAACAATTTTAAAAATCAGGCATTCTAACAAAATGCAATCCAAAGATGTGCTAATTTGATACTTAAACGCTGAGAAATGATGGCAGAAAGCACTAAAAGCCTTTGTTTCCTGTAATTAAACCATTGTTTCCAGACAACTTTGTATCTATAATAAAAAGACCATAATTCATAGCACACAGTAGCCTCGAATCCCAGTTGATAAATTCCAGGCAGGACTGCATGCTGTCACAGTATGAACAGCGCAAAGTGTGAACGCTGTGTGTCCCCAACCAACGGAAGCTGCAGGGAAGGAAGGCCCACCCTTGGGTACCGAGTGCTACAGAAGCCCCTGCACTTCATGACATGTTTCATCTCCAGTTTATTTTTGGCCCCTGGCCGTTCAGAAAAATGTTGGTAATGTTTTACGACCCCTACACTCAATTGTGCAGTTCCATAGGGATCGAACCCACGGGAGCCACAGTTCAAGGAGCTGGGTCTAAATGATGCGCCTGCATGGCTGCAGTGGTGCCATGTTGACCATTCCCACCCCCACCCCACCCCAGTTCTCATCCAGGGATCTTCCAACTAAATAGAAAGGTGGAGTCTTTACAGGGTTAGAGGGAACCTGGTAGCTGGACAGTGGACCACGTAATCTGCTGTGAGGAGGAAAAGGCATGAGAACAAGCAAGTGATTTGGGAGCTTGTAGATGAGCATTTGGCTCCGTGCACACCTTGCTCCCAAGCACATTCCCCTCCCTTCTGCTGACAGCTCTCTCTGGCAGCCTTCACTGTAAAGACCTGATCTGCCTATCACCCTGGTCTCATCTTCCTGAAGCTGCCAAGAAGAATCTGGGTCAGTGGGAGTTGACATTTGTAGGCGTGGTCAGAGCAGGATGTGAGCAATGATGACTGCTGCTCCTCAGCTTGTGGCTCCAGTGACCATGGATACTCTTAACAGGAGTCACAATGGCAGCGCTGTCTCTAGGCAAAGAACAAGCCCGAACCATTTCCTTCTTCCCTTTCGACGTCCATATTCCTTCGGAAAAGTGAGGACCCTTCACACACACGCACACACACGCACACACACACACACACACACACACACA